TTCACGAAGTAATTTAACTCCACGTTCTGTTAAGAATGTGTCACTGGATGGTACATATTTGGAATTTTCATAACATTGTACATATTCAACATAGGAAACATTATGTGATGTTAATTTATTTTCAAAATCTAGACGTTCATCAACAGATGGAATCACTTTCGCAAACGTAATAAATGGTTTGTTTTGATATGGATTAAAAAAAAATGCTTCATGTTTATCACCCCGTATTAGTAACTTATCCAGAACCATTTTTTCTAAAACGGCATCAATTTCACAAGATTTTAACTTTTTCAATGGGTTACCATTTCCATACAATTGTGTTTTATGAAAGAATTTTAGTTCTAAATTTAACACTTGTCGAATGTCGCTCGATGTAACGACGACAGCGTTTGTAGATAAAATACATAAATCATTATGTGGAATTGGGTTAATAGTTTTACAATCAAATAAGTATAATAATTGAGGTAATAATATCCGCAAATAAAATTTTGCACCTATCTCACAAGCTTCTATTGATATTGTTGATAACAAATCATTTTTCGGTGTTCCGTCATCATTTAATGATCCTTCAACTAGTATTGGACAGCCATGATGTTGTTCAACTAATGATTTTGCTTCTGCATAAAAATCATTGTCGAGATACCCAAAGGTTTTTCTGTCAATTAAATCAATAATTGACATACAGTCAATGATTTGTTGTACATTGGCACAAATTCTTAAACATATCTCGGCACCGCGTCTCATTATCGATTGCTGTAGTTTTGTGAAGTTTTTCACGTCCCCCGTCAATTCATTAAATTGAAGGTTTTTTGATAGTTTATCAAGAATAGGTTGCAAATAAACGTAAGCATCGTCTGCCAACTTATAAATTTTAAAACTAATTAAATGACGAACTACGTATAAATGGTCTAAACTTGCACATTTTTTGTTTGGTTTTTTTTTTTTAATATTTTCTAAACGTTCTGTATATCGCTTTTCTTCCTGTTCCTTTGTTTCATTTTCAGGAAGATTTACTTGTGGATTATCATAGCAAAATATTAGGAACCGTTCAATATATCCACCAGATATTTCATATGTGCTAAGAAGAAAAGAAAAATTACGACGAAGGTAAGAGCTCTTTTTCCGAAGCATTCGTTTCCCTTCAGTTGTGGACAAAAACAGGTAATTTGGGCGTGACGGAGAGCGTACTATATCTAATCACTCTGAACTTTTACAGCTTTTATTCATGTATCTGATGGCGTGTTGCGAGATAATAATGATTTTCTCGAAAACCGTCGCCGTTCGCTTATTAAACCGAGTTCATAAACACGCAGCGCTTTTCGCTGTTGCAATCGGTGTCACAGACGTTCAGTGATGGCTATTCTAATCGGAAATGCGGTTTCTCTATTCCAGACACCGGTTCTCCTGCTATATTTATACTACACGCAAAACACGTCATGATGTTCTCGTATAGAAAAGAAAATTGATGCAGAAGCAAAGAATAGCAATTCTGCAAAATTGTCCACAAAATCTCCGTAGAATTTTCTAAAAATCGATGTTTTTCTATACACCTTCTACAGCAGTTTTCCTACAGTCGTAGCATGGATACCTTAGCCTACGAAATCATCCCATCAGCCGCATTCCCTGTTTCCAGATATGAAGTACTTCTACCTTTTGATTAATGCTGTTCTTCACTCGAAAAGAGAGTATTTTTCGTGTTTCAAAGAATTAGTTAGACATGTTATGAAAGTTATATTCACCGATGTTGATATCAACACAATGATTTTATATCATTCCACACACCATAGAAACACGATGGAACACAAATATCGCTTTCAGAAACCGTGTTCCGTTGAACTGATTGATGTATGTCTCAGGCTGTCTGGAAAACTCTTACTTTCCGGAATATCCGGAAAATTCTCGCGAAAACTTTAACAAAAATAAAAGTTGTCCGAAAATACGCCCAACTTAAAAATTCCTTAACTTGCTTATTCTTATGCTAACCAAGACGAGTTTAAAAAACCTCCTAGACAACCTTGGAATTTCTACTGTGAAATTTTTCTCAGATTCATGACTACACGGAGAATTGACTTTAACTTAAACAATGGTAGTCTTTAGGCAAATTCCAATACAATTTCTTTACAACACGTGCTTCACTTACCAGAACATGCTGCCTACTCCGACGAGTAGGTCAGTGCACCCGTGTGCAGTTCACTTATAAACTACAACATGGTATAACAAAACTTACTCAAAGTAACGTATCATAGTTGGAAATCGTTTCCCCGTTGTAGCTAATAATAACGTCAATGTTCGTCCACTTATACGACGCTCATAGCCCATAGTGTTTTTCAACAGCAGTTTTATGCCATCATAACCTTCAATGAGATTTGCTGATTTTTGGTCAGATGTACGGTCGCCTGGATCACTGTATCCACTTTCATTTAATGTTCCTTCACCTTCGTTTGAAATGATAAATATTGATTTTTCAAATAAAGAAGTCATCAAGGACGCCGGTGTGTAATATTGTCTAATTGATGTCTTTGATTCAAATTCAAAGTCAGAACCGTCACTTGTTGTTGAGGACTTTGATCTTTTTCGTTTTGGTGATGTTGTCATTGTTGCCAACGACGATGTTGTTTCTTGTTGATGAATAAATTGTTCTTGTTTGTCAATTGCTCTTAATTGTTCATTTATATAATGTGATTTCTTTTTCCCTAATAAAATAGAACGAGAATATTAATAATTCCTTATAACCCAGGAATTAGCCTTGCTATTTTCTGTTAAAGCATATGCTACAAGCATATCTTTCTTTCTGGCAGGCTCATCTCCTCGAGAAACAAATTTCATCGACGCAATAAAAGATTTAGCCCTTAATATCCTGACACACAAGCCAGGACTGTCGCCGTACGGACTATTTTAAGGACCTCCGTTAGAAATGATTTTCGGTCAATAAATCGATTTTTAGGTAAGCGCATGAAACGACAGCCTGACGTGTCTACTTTCACAATATTTATGATTTAACACCATATGAATGGTTTTTGAGGGGGTTTTCAGAGGTTCTCTGGATCCCCCTATGGACAAATATTTTTTCAATAAGGTTTCATACAAAACAGCTACAGATATTGTCGGTACTTTGGGATATTTTCCATGCGAAAGACTCTTGTGCGCATGTTTCCACAAGCATGATTGTTTTCTGAAGACTTTCTTTGAAAACCAGGTCGTGTGTAAAAACAGGCTTGTATGAATTTTTTTGCTTGGACTGATAGCCCGGGATGTACACTTCAAAATGGGAGTCAAACGAGACCTTAATTTTTCGCGGCTCCGACGTTGTATTGGATTTCCTACGAGTCCGACGACTGGCACGTGATGACTATTGGTAGCCTTGAAAACGAATGTACTATGGGTAATCGATCACGCTGAATCTCGCGGCAATATTTGTGTTCAGAAAAACTTAGAATCTAGCGAAAAGGGAACTTCACGAAAATGGGTGTTTTCAAGCTGTTTTCAACAAATTCAATGATTAAGAATTCACTATTCACTAAAAATACATCAGAACGAGTTCCAAACTTTAGGGTATGATTAATTTTGTCTGCTAAACATTATCATAAGATCGAGAAAATCGTAAAAGCATATTTTTGTTAATGAGTGTTCCGTAGAGTTCTCTTTCAGATCTCTTTCAGATAGATTTCTGAAACACCCATTAACAAAAATATGCTTTTACGATTTTCTCGATCTTATAATAATGTTTCGCGGACAAAATTAATCATATCCTAAAGTTTTGAACTCGTCCTGATGTATTTTTAGTGAATAGTGAATTCATAATCATTGAATGAGTTGAAAACAGCTTGAAAACCCCAATTTTCGTGAAATGCACTCCATGCAAAAAAATTCATACAAGCCTTTTCGAAAATGTTCACACACGACCTGGTTTTCAAAAGCTCTCCTAGAAAACCAGTTTCAGAAAACTCTTCAGAAAATAGTTATGTATGTGGAAACATGCCCACACGTGTCTTCTTTCGCACGGAAAATATCGGAGCTCTCTAGCTGCTTTCTATGAAAATTTATTGGAAAAACACTAGCGGGAGTTCCAATTTGGCGTTTGTCTCGACGTTTTTTGTTCGAAAATACCCCGTGTGGAACCCTATTCTTAAATATACTTCAAGCTGGATGTCTCGGGTTGATTTTAGTTTAAACTAAACACCTAACTACGTGAGGTGCTGGGACTCTATTTTTGAATTAGGCTTTCCTTTTCTAGAAAATCAAGAATCTCTGGAAAGAGTTTTTGAGGATCTTCGTTCTCTAGAAAACTAGCGAGGATCTAAATCAAAAATCGGATCACAGCGCCTCACGCAGTTAGGTGTCTAGTTTATAATGTGACCAAACTGAGATTTCTAGCTTGAAGTATATTTAAAAAAAGAGTTCCATACTGGAGGATGGGTTTTAACCTTGAACTCTGGAAAACCCCGGAACGGTAAGAGATAGCGACAAAAACATTTCATAACCACATTAATGTGACTAACACTTGCTGAAAGTTTAATCAAAATCAGATGTAAGACAAAAAAGTTTTTTTCTGAGGCGGCTCTTAAGCGCCTTTTCGCTATTCAAGCACTGCAGTTAAGTGTTATTTTACACGCAGTCGGATGAGAATTTTGAAGCCAATCCAATGGTGTATTTAGTTGGTCATTTAGTTGAGGCAAACATCAGAAAAATGCTTTTAGTGTAATCTATAGCTGAGTTCTGAGGCATGAGCGATTGGCGTCTAATTACCAATGAATTACCTGGATGTTGCTTTAGACGAAGTCCGCAAAATTACTTAGAATCGAATAAAAATAGTTTTTACTACTCAACGTTTTTAAGCAACAATTGAACTGGACCGATACTAATCTTATGCGAATGCATCCTTTCCACTTACCAGATTCAGCCATGACAAATCCGAATAAATTCGTTGTTTTTAATTCCTGTGTTTCCGGATTGTATATGAATGATGTAGAATTGAAATGTCCGATCGCAATAACTGTCGTATAAAATATCATAAGACCGTCCATACCATGATGTGTAATGTAACGGTCAAAAAACTTCAACAATGACCTATTGGAAATAATATCATCCAAACGGTAACCATGATAAACACTTTTTGCACGTTCAAAATTCCTCAAATGTATCTTTGTTGCTTGGCCAGGTGTCAAGTGATATTTTGACATTTTTTTCGACAATGACAATAATAAAGGTTAAAGATATAATTTGGTAATACGTACTTTTTATATCTAAAAGTGAAACTATCACCAAGAACATCATCAATAATAGAGATGTAAAATTCTTTGACAAAGAAGTGTTTGGCCGCTTCATCATGAGACCAGTCAAACACGAGTTATGATGTGAATAGGATGGTGCAGTGTATTTATACTATTAGTTTACAACAATGATATACAACTAGGATAT